CTAGAGTGGAGACAGAATGAGTAGAAAGTAGCAGGGCTGATGCTAGAGATATTGACAAGGTTAAAATCATAAGATTATGGGCCTTCTGGCAACCACTTAAATGTGTGGGAAAAGAAGGAAAAAGTTTTGTCAAAGATGATTCCAAAATGTCATCTCTAGAATATATTCTTTGAGGAAAGATGACGTGTGTTATTGCCTCTTTGTATCCCCAGCACAGAGCACACTGCCTCATATACGGCAGTCATCTAGTAATTATTTGTCAAAATGAATACAAGATTCCTTCTCTGCTCTACAATTCTCTAAGCCTGTTCCTAGGTACTTAGTTACCTGTAAAAGATAAAAAGCAAAATGGCACCATCTAGTGGACATCTAACCACTTCATTCTAATTTAAAAAGGAAGGGCCGAGGGCGGGGGGGGGAACCTAGTGACTTTTCAAAAATTTTTTCCTCTACCTGGATACTTGCAGAACTATCCATGGTTGTCCTGGTTTATAAGGAAAAATGTGCAGGGAAGGATGTCTGAAACCAATCATTTCATATGATCAAAGGCTGGATTTTCCAGAAACATTTCACTACGCAATCACAAAAATTGACCAAATCTAGGAGAAAAGATTTGAACTGCTATGCTACCACCATAGTTACTAAGAACAGAAGTTTAGTATTTTTTTGGCAAAGAAATTGAGGTTGCACCTTCAACACTGAAAATAAATGAACAATTTACTAATGCTAAATGCTACTTACCAAATAAAATCTTTATAGCATCTTAAATATGATCTCTATTTTCTTTCCCTTGTTCTATGACACTGAAAAATCTATGTGATCAACTTGTTAGATCAGAAGTGACATTTACTTCCTGGTGAATTTTTTCCTAAAACAGCTTTCACATGTGAATTTGTTTTGTTGAAAGCACTAAGCAACCTTCTAAGTGAAATCCAGGCTAATCTCATACTCAACTACAGGACCTTCTTATTGTGTGCTTCAGCAGTTCAGGATACACATAGCAATGAACTAACCTGATGACTGCTTCGCCCAAATTCACATGCTAATCTGAACATCAAAGTAACTGGCTTTACTTAAAATGATTACATTTCGACTTTTATTTTGCCCAACATCTACACAAATGATATAAATATTTTAAATTTCCTTTCAATTGTAAATGCAGAAATTTTATAGTTACACATTTTAAGAATACTTTTGACATAGTATAATTAGACACCAGACAATAAAAGGATATTTATTTTATTTCTAAATAGTTCACAAATACAAAAGGATTAATGTCCACTCCATTATATTTATATTAATCTCACTTTTTTACATAGAATTATGAGCTATGAAAAATCAATTTACCTTTAAATTGTTATATCTTGTTGATTTCTTATTGTAAATTTATTTAAAAAAATCAATTCTAAGATATTTCCCTTAGACATCAGCAAAATACAGAAGAATGTTGGGGAGGGGTTTCTATTACTTTAAATTATACCTCCTTTTAGTCATTTTCCACATTTTTCAAATATGTGGAAAGATGTTATGGAGTTAGAAGTGGAAACTCATTAAAAATTATTTCTTATCTTCTAAGCTCCCACACTTGCCAGAAATATTGCCTAATATACCCTACAACCCTAAAAACCTATCTATGCTTTCTCACTGATTCTTGGGGGTCTGCCCAAAGTACTGGAAACTTTTCAAGTTACCAAAGAAATTTACCAATATCACTAGTTTAAATTGATTATTCTAATTATGGACTGAGCATCTAGAATATGCTAGCATAAATATACTAATTAAAATATCATTTTACTATTATACTGCAAAAATGGAGGCAATTACCATGAGACAATACAAGGAAAAGGAAAATGTTTTTCTTCTATATTAAGTGTTCTACAGGAAATATATAGGAATATATAGGAAAATATAGGAAATAAATCATGACTAAAAATTTTATAATAACTGATTTTTCCAAATGGAAAAATTCTCTCACATCACAGAGGAACAACTTTGAAATGTTTCATGTAAATATCTATTTTAATGACTAAATTTAATAAACTTATATGAACATCCTTTACAGAAAACTAATCCACATATCAGTAATTGCAATCAGTAGTACTGTTAGATATGAAAAATGTTATAATAAACAAAACTATATATCATGCTTGTTGTATTTTTCCAATTTTTAAAATTGAATCAAAACCCACTAAATTTATCTTAAGGCACAGTAGATAAGAGTGCCAGGCCTGCAGTAAAGAAGACTTTTCCTCCTCAACTCAAATCTGGCCTTAGACCCCAGGCAAGTCACTTAATCCTGTTTGCCTCAGTTCCTCATCTGTAAAATGAGCTGGGGAAATAAATGGTAAACCAGTCCAGTATCTTTTCCAAGAAACTCTAAATGGTGTCACAGAGAGTCAGACATGACTGAAAAGACTAAACAATAAGAACAATTTTAATTTTTTTTTTGGATAGATTTCACAAGTTGACTTTTTTTTGACAATTTTAAGTAAATTTTGTTTTACTAGGTCAAAGGGGGAGTGAAGTTTTCCTCAGCCATGATTACTCTATCACTTCCATGCAAACAAATTCAATAATAATAGGAATTTACCTAAAAGTGTTCTAACTGGAATTCTGTAAATACGGTTAGTATTGTGAGATAATTATTCATTCCATAGAAATAACTACAACCTAAATTTGAAAACTGAATCCACGACCCAAAGTATTTTACGTCTTTCCCTTCCAAATTTATTTCAGTTCTCGTAGAAATATTGCAGGATAGAAGTACATTTTTCACTTTTAAAGACAAGTCTATCTTTGTGTACTGCCATGAGGTTTTTTTTTTTTTTTTTTTTTTTTTTTTTGCTTTCAATATATCATTGAAAGTCAGAGTCAATGCAGTTCCCTCGGCTTAACCAGACCCTCTGAAGGCAAGGTCCTGCGGATGAAGGAGCAGAGACCCCACTACACTCTACTCTTTCTGCCCATCCAATTTCTCTTACAAATTTCTCACACTCAATAAATACAGTGTTTTCATTGTACACAACAGAAAGCATAGGGGCCTTTTACCTTATGAGCTCTGCACTACACAGAGATACCTCAGGAACATCAATTAATATGGTGGCACATTTCACATCAATCTTGCATATGGGCTACTCCCCAGGAAATCCAACCACTACGAAAAATTCCATACACTTTTTACTGGCAAGGAAAACTAGATGAATGGAAGTTTAAGCATTTCTCCTTACAAACAGTCTCTTTTCTTAGTTGCCTTTAGGTTACTGGCATGATTCCTTCAAGTGAATGCCAATAACATTAACATATATTTCAATGCAGTTGTGCTCTCTCCAGGGGAGGGAGAAAAAGATTTATTTTGGTATGTATTTTAAATTCAAAGTTTTAAATCAACAATTTTATATCCAAGTATCAGTATTTAAATGTTCAAAGCTCATGGGTGGCCCTATTGTAAGCAACACACAACTTTAAAAAGTTGAATCTGAAAATACCGTATATGCAGATATATACATATGAGCGTGTCTGTTTGTAATAAATAAATGTTATATTCTCCCTAAGTTGAATAAGAAAAAAACATATAGAGTTATCCCTTCCATATTGCAGCTTTCCCCATTGTGGTTTAGATATATTGCGAATCGGCTAAGAAATTAAATGGGACTTTTTCGAGAGTTTTGTTGAAGCCGCAGACAACACGCAAAGGCTAGCAGATGACAAAGAAAAAGTTTAGAAACTCAGAAATGCATAAAATGGATGTATAGTATTGAATAATATCAACATATTTTAGCTTGTAATACCATAATAATTTAGACTTCTTCTCTGGTACAAAAGAAGGGCCAAAAAATTTTACACAGATTTTCTAGATCACAGGGGCACCACACCCCTAAGCCCCAGCGATGTGGAAAGTATAACAATATGTATATACATATAAGTATATGTATATATATACATGCAATATACACACATACATATATATATATATAAAATCATATATTTAAAGCTGAAAGGGACCTGAGAGGCCATTGTGTCCAGCTCCCTGATTTTATGGATGAGGAAACTGGCACAGAGCAGTTAGATGTCTTGGAAGAAATGAAAGAGTAAGAGTGACTATAGCAGAGAAGAATTTATAATTAGCAAGAAGGTATTCAGCTTGCAATCAGATAAATATATTTCCCTTCAAACTAGTGATATATAAAATTACTTACAAGTATAAAAAATTCCAAAAGGATGTTAATACTCATCATCATTAAAGTGCTCTAAGGTACTTTAAAATGCAAACAAGTTTTATATAGGTATCATATTCTCCACCTCCTCCCATCCCTAGAGAATCATCCAAAGAAGGTCTGCTTCAAGTTCAGATAAATCCTGGGTTAGAAGTTTCTCAGATGAGTGTTATATTCAGTTCTAGGCATCTTTGCTCTTCACCCCCAGGGATTCACATTCACTGAGGGGACTGCCAGGAGCTATCCCATAATATATACCAATAAATATCAGGAAAGCTTAGAACTAACCTCAGAGAGTAGATCCACCTAGGTTTCAGACAAGAGCAGCTGCCTTTGGGTTTTTTCAAATGGGCACATTTTGAGGTATGAAAGTAAAGGGTATCTACACCCATCAACAGGATTTCTTGGCTTTCAGGCACTCCTCCACTCTCAAATATACTGTCATATACTCACTAATGATTTGCTAGATTGGTCTAACAATCCTTGCTGAGAATTAAAATGGTACTTCAACATCCACTTCTGACTACTTAAAAAATAGCACCATAGCTCTCTAGGCAGCAACTTAAATAGCTCATTTGGCTACCAGAGTAAGAATGTAAACTCAAACCCCATCTTATTCTAATGGTATGGGCATTCTTGAGATAGTGGATGAACATTTTATATATTTTTCCACACTCTTCTACCCTGTACCAGAGGCAAGGGATCCACTTGCTGCTACAGCTAGTCTAAAATGAAATTAAACAATACATAAATATGACTTTACATATATAAAGTATGTTTTCTCACCAATTCGGGTGATCTTGTTATCTGAAACTTCAATATTTCGAAGATTACTACAACCATCCAGTCCATGAAATGAAGTCAGTTCATTGTCATTCATAAGAAGGATGCAGAGATTTTCTAAATTCTCACAATTTATAACCTGAATCTGGTTTTCCTGAAATAAATACAAACAAAAATATAGCTATATTTTAGTGAAATATTAGCAAAAACATGTATCTAAGTTGTATGTGATATACCTAAAAATGCTCACACAAACTATTTTTCAAATGGTCAAATACTAAACTGGATGAGATGATGTAGCCTTTCAACAGAATACTGAAATCTCTTATTCAACTCAATCTTAAATTTGTTAAAATAAAAATCATTTATCATAAGGAAAAAAGTTTAAATGTATTATTTATTATTATAAATACATCATATATGGAGTGTGTAAAGAGCAACTAGAGTAGGGATCAGAATATTTGACTTCCAGACCTGCCACTAACACTTATTAAATTTTTCTTCTTAAGCAAATTATCTCCTGGAGTGTTCTTTTCCTTCTCTGTCAAATGTAGATAAAACTAATAATAAAATAATTATCACTCCAAGTTCAGAGAGCAAATAGTATGCTACCATCTGCATTCAGACTCCATAGTTCTTTCTCTGCACGTAGACAGCATTTTCCATCATAAGCCTTTTGGAATAGTCTTGGATCATTGTATTGCTGAGAAGAGCTAAGTCTTTCAAGGTTGGTCATCACACAATGTTGCTGTTATTGTGTACAATGTTCTCCTGGTTCCACTCACTTCACTCAGCATTGGTTCATGTAAGTTGAAGGCTAGGATTTCAAAGAACTCAAGTAAAGAATAAGTAGGATCTCATTGAATTCAATGAGGAAAACTGACCCCAAAAGGATAGAACAGTCTCAAAATCTAAATTCTTATATCACAAGAAAAAATGATTTTGATGAGTTATGGAAAGAAGTGCTATTCTTCAAAAAAGAGCAATGCAGATAGACTGTGAACTTAATGATCAACTGATATTCCAAAAAAAAATTGTGAAGAAGGTAAAAGCAAGGGCAGAATGAAAACAGAAACATCACAGTGCCATAAGAATAGTCTCAGGGATGGTAATGTTCAGAAATGAGACTGATGATGATACAAAACAAAATAAAAAGGTCTTTGTAAAAGTATGATTTCATGGATTGAATTGTACAAAACAACAATAACATAAAATTAAGAGACAGGAGAACTATTCATCTACATGAGGGCCTCATCAATAAAATCCATGATTATTCAAAAGAGATTAGCCTAATAATATATACAAGAAAAAACAAATAAGAAAAATTCTTATTGTCCAGAAAAGAAGTCAACAAACTGCAGCCTTTGTATCAATTCAGTTTTTACATGTTAAGAAAAGTTTTATTGCCATACAAAAACAAAAAGAGGGCCAGATTTGACCGAAAGGTTGTAGTTTGCTGAACCATGGCATAGAATAGATTATGATGTGTAATTAGATAGCTGGTACATTTGAGTTAGAATATGAATATGTATATTTGGGACAATCACTGGGGATGGACATCAAGTTAAGCCTGAAGGTATTTGAAGAGGCAGAAGAGAGTGGAATAGATTATAGTTGGGAGACTATGAAGTGCTTTTAATGATTCCAAGCTGCTCCCTGAAGCAAAGACCTACCTTTTCAATACACATGTTCTCCTAGTGATGACCTATCAGTGTAAAACTTGGAACATTACAATTTCTGATGAATTCAAATTGATGGTTAACAAAAAGGCAACGGAGAGATTTATTATAGATGCAGGCAAACTGCAGTATACTTCCAGTGATAACGTATTGGTGCTCAAGAAATGGTATAAGGGATATAACAGGCTATGATAAATGGATAAGGGAGGTAGACTAGTCATATGACACATGAGGAAGGATAACAGATAGAGAGGCCAAGTGTTCCACTGGTACTTTCAAAATATTTTTTTTAATATTAAACTAGAGGAGGGCTCTGGCATGTTGGATGGATCTTTTGTAAAGGCTCTATTTAAAAAATGACAAAAACAGATGAAGAGAAGATATAGATGGGTTGTAATCTCTACCAATTGAAGGTGATCAATTTAATTAAGTTTTTCCACCAAAAAATGAGCTCTGGACTGGGAAGGATAGTACAGGAATGGTTAATAGAGAACTGAAATCCAAGATAAGTAAAGAGTGTCAAGGGAACACTGACCTGTCCTCAATAAATTTAAGCTACTGGGTATAGATTACAATATCTTTAAAAAACAGATTATGACAAGTTATTAGGCTGGTTAAAGTAGTGAAAATAGCTAATGAATGTAACTGCTGAGCTGCTATCACCGATATTTTAAAAACTGAGAAGAATGAGACGTATACCATGACTGGAGATGGGGAAATATCCTAAAGTTAAAAAAACAAAACAAAACAAAAGAGAGAATGGAATTGTCAAACTACTGGCTTGACTTCCATTCCTTGCAAAATTCTAGGATATATTATAAAAAAGGATGATCACTAAGAGATTGCATAAGTACCTCAAAACAAGGGCAGGGCTGACTGAGCTTTGACAATGTTACCACATCAATGTAATAATGCTACAAATATACTTGGACTATATAACAAGATCTTTGACAAATATCTTTGGGTAAAAGATAGAGAGATGTGAACTGGATGACAGAAGTTAAATGAATTCAAAACTAGTAAAGTTGAATGACTAGATATCGAAGTAGTCATTAATGAGTTGAGATATCAACCCGGAGGAAGATCTCTAAAAGTAGTGCCTTTGGCCCTGTGCTTTCAATAGTTTTATCAATTATTTGGATGAGATGGCAGATATATAACTATTACATTTATGGCTAACATAAAACTTGGAAGTATGACTAACAAATTGGGCGACAAAAACAGGATTCAAAAAGTTATTGAGGGGTTACAAGAATGAACTAAATCTAATAAAATTAAATTGACAGTCATAAATATGACTATAGCCTACAAAAAAAGTTATTGCACAAGTGTAGCCTCAGGGAAACATGGCTAGAAAACAGTTCATGTGGTAAATATCTAAGTTTTTTTTTTAATGGATTTCAAGTACAACATTAGTTCTTGCACATAGTAGGTGCTTAATAAATTGGACTAGAGTCAATGTTATGACAAAAAAATTACTATAAATTGAGATTTAGGGGTATATTATCCAAAATGAGAATGGGTATTAGTTCTAATGTACTATGTTTGGCCAGACCACATGTAAAGTATTTTATTCAGTTTCAGGTCTTATATTTTTGAAAGAATATTGATAAACTAGAGAAACTTCATAGGAGAAAGACTAGCGTAGGAAGACATTTAGAAATTATGCTACAGGTCTAAGAGTTGAAGGAACTAAAGGTATTTAGCTAGAAGAGAAAACTCAAAGGACACTTGATGGGACACTTCAGGTATTAGAAAAGTTTTGATATAAAAGGATTAAACATGCTCCAGGTGGCTACAGTCGACAGGCCTGGGAGAAATGAATAAAATTTTAAAAGAATCATTTTTTTTTTTTACAAAATGTCAAATCTCAGAAATATCAGAGCTGGAAGTACTTCAGAGGTTGGCTGGTACAAACCATACATGAACAGGAATTATCTCTACAAAATTCCTGTCAAGGAATCACCTAGATTGAAAATCTTGTGAGACTGTCCATTTGGGGTCAGCTCTCCTTGTTAGAAAATTTTTTCTGATATTGATGCAAAAACTGTGCAAAGAATGCCAACTTCCCTTACGAGAACACTCAATTTCCTCACAAATAAAAAGTTAAAAAGAAATGAAATATATTATTTGAGATCAGGGTGTTTCTTCTGTTAATCAAAATATGACACTTTGGTAATCTCAGGAGCAAGCCACTCTCTGTATCTCCCTCTACCCCCAAATTTAGGCTCATTGTCTAATTTCCTCTAAAGTGTCCCCTGAGGAACACTAAATTATAGGTGATTCTCGTCATAGGTATTTCTTCCAAGCCATTTTTAATATCCACACAAAACATTTTGCATTGCATCACAGAATAAATACTAGAGAGAAACACTGAAGAAAATACCTGTACATCAATGTATTTCAATTTTTTGCAGTTATTCAGTCCTTCCAAAGCAGTTAATCCACAACGCCTGAGAGTCAGGAATTGAAGACTTGTACATTCTGACAATGTGCAAAGACTACAACCTGGCAAATCCTGAAATGTTACTGTTGTAACCTAGAAAATTCAATAAAAACAAGTATATGACATTGTTACTCCATTCTATTGAAAATATGCAATTATCAGCCTTGCAAATAATTTCTTTAAATGATCGGTCAAGAAAAATGTTATTAAGGCAGCCATATATAAATTTGTTCCCTATATTTGTCGATAATTCACCCCCTTTGAAACTATCTCACTTTTTTATATTGCTCTCCATAATAGGTCAAAATAATACAAGCACTTACTTACAACTAATACACCTTCAAATGAAAACCAAAATAAAATGAGGAAAAGAGTATGATTTTCCTATCAGTCTCATGACAAAATTTCCACAGGGTTTACTTATTTTACTTTCCTAAGATTGTGGCTTATAAGCTCATTTCGTTCATGGTTACTCCACATACCAAATATTAACAAATGTTGGGGAAATACTGTACAGTTTTACAATGTAATAGAACTGCAATACTGATATAAAATCATATAGCTATTATTCCCATTATATATTTTTCTGAGTTACAGTATACTTCACTTTACTTGTAGGATATAATTTTTTATTTCCTGAAGCATAATTAAATATGCATTATAGTAAGGAATTTTGTTCCTTGGATCTTCAATCTTTGTTTCTTCCAAAGATTTTTCTGTATTTTTCAAACTCTTCATTCTCTCATAATGCCCTTATAAACTCTAGGTAAACAATAACATGAGAACTTTTTAAAATGTTGTATGTTGAATTTGTATAACTTTGTAATTTCAGATGAGCGTAGCCTCAAGGCCCACCACCTATGGTAAGTTCAGATGTTCAAAAAATATAAATAATTTGGGGACTATGTAAGAACTATATGAAATATCCTACTTAGGACTCTGCTTGGCATTTACGAGGCCATTAAAAATGGTGTCCTCCTGACTGTTCAAAGTTTTTAGTGCAAGTACACTAGGAGAAAGCATTTGGAAAGACTGCTTGAGATTCTCTAGTTCCCAAAAACTTTCTAGAATGGGAGAACAGCAGAACTGGAAATCCATCTAATCTGCTAAGCTGGAGAACTTCCTAAGAGGCTAAGCCTACACTCTGGCCTCTTCTAGTGAGGCTAAGCCTACACTCTGGCCTCTTCTAGTGAGCCACATGCTCTGATCCCTTGCTAAAGCCTATGTATAATCAGCAGTCACTGGGTGGTTATTATGGTATCCCCATGAGAGGACGCAAGAAGACTGGCAATTAAGCCAATAAGATGCCAATACTTCAAGAGGTAGGTAAGGAGCAAGAAGAAAAGTTCATCTCTCCTTTGATAGCAACACCTGAAACTGCCAACTCTCCCTTGGACTTTTTGCAAAAGGAGAGGACTTCCCTCCACTAAGCCCTCCTCACCCCCCAAATTGGTAACTGCTAAGAAATCTCAAACCATGACTTGTTATGTCAGGGAATGCTGACAAACATTAGATCTCTGAGTTGTAAATATAGCTCATATCAGAGGTGAAAGTGAAATATCTTTTTGGCAGCTCTTACAATGTTGTCAGTAATTCCTAGTAGAGCATAATAGGTGTGATGGATTATTAATTTTATGTTTTAAAGCATTTGTTAAAGTAAGTTAATGAATTTTTATATTTTGAGCATTTCTTTCCTGGTAGAGAAGAAAGATGTCCTGTATCTGCTAAGTGTCTAGAAGACACTGTTAATTTTTTGGGGGGTAAGAACAATATCAGAGGTTTCCTCCCAGAATTCCAAGATTGAGGTTATATTAACTCCTCTCTTTTAGGAGTCAGGATTTCTCCAGTATGGAACCCAGTCTAAATATGAGTCCTGAGTATGGGCTTCACTCCTTGCACTAGATTGAGCTTCTCTTAGTCCACAGGTGCCCCCCGCCAAAAAAAAAAATCTTCATTCTTATATAATTGATTAAATGAACCTAATTTTACTATAATGATGACAGAAAATGTATAGAAATGAATACCAAAAGTCTATAATTTAGAATATTTTCATGTTATAAGAAATGAGGATAAAATTATTCAGAAACAAAGAGTTGAAAATCACTAAGAAAACTGAATTTGCATCTAAATATATATAGTATGATTTTACATTAAACTGACTTAAAACATACTAGGTCTTAGTTACCCTGGAAAATTATATTTTCCTTTACCCAGACATTACAGTAATCACAATCTTTTACAATGTCCCGGATGATGATGTTTATTTAGTATTAGATATGCCTCAATGAGTATTCTCAGAGACTTTCCTTCTCATTTATGTAGAAGTTGAGTCATTTTACTCTTTGTAGTACAATATAAAAGTCACACTTTACTTTCTGGACTCCTTATAAATATGTGATCAAATTTATCTTAACTAAACTTTTAAAATGTTATTTATTTTTAATGGTTTATATATAGATTAAGATATATATAGATATATATAGATAAATACAGATAGATAGCTTCTCCATCAAAAAATACTATAGTCAATATAGAAATGGTCTAAACCAGACTCACTATCCATTTGCATCAGCATATTTGTATGTATGTGTATATATATATATATACATATATATGTATTAACTGAAAACATTAAGTAAATGAAAAATTGTCAAATAATAGTTTATTCAATTTAGTTATGTAATAGAGAAAGCAAGGTATCCTGACCTAACAAAAATGTCATTCAGTGGCTAAAATGTTATCAAACACGTGGTTTAAAGATGGAGTATATGGAAAATTCTTGTAACTGTAAATGCCTTATGAAATCTATTATTAATATCAAAAATCCAAAATGCTAAAGGATAGTGAATTATTTAGAATACTATATGCAGAAAAAGGTGTTAATTATCTATAATCAGAGATCCTTAAATTACGTGCAATTGAGCAAACTACCATAATGGTGGAATGATCCAGGGTTACCAACTTTATATTATTTTACTAAAAGAAGTCTTTAGGGAGTCCTTAAGATGCCAATTGTTTCTGTCTCTTTAGTTCTTTCAAACACAAAGGAGAAAAAATGTTATAAAATAAAAGTAACATCTCTAATACGTAATCCATATATTCAACCTAAGTTGTGGAGGAAGTAGAGTGTTAGCAATCCTTTCATAAGGATTCATGTTCAACAAATTACTACGTCAGATATATAATCTGTTCTTTTCCAAAGGTCTTAGAGAATAGGACAAACTGCTTTCAAACAACAACAACGAGTGATCTGGACATCATAAAATGAAGCTCCCAAGTCAGAAAATCAACAGAAGGAAAGCTGTCAATAGGCAAGGAATACTAGTATACAGTTGAAGAATGAGCACGCACAAATAAATCAAATACCAAACAAGGAAAGGAAGGGAAATTGTTGTCTTTGTTTACAAAGAACCTGATGTATTAGTCATATTTCGAAAATATTTTAAAACTTTGCAAGTGATTTTAAACACTTGTTTTCAAAATCAGTATGATGACTGGTGGTCAAACTTCTGTAGTAAAAGCAAAGGAACTCGATCCAAATCCTTCTTCATGTTAAATTTATTTTAATTCCAAAGAGAGGAGCTATGAAGAACAAAAAGGCAGGGCTACTATAAGGAAAGAAAAGTTATTCCTTAGTGAGATTACCTTAAGAACAACAACGAAAAACTTTGGACATCCCAGTAGGAAGTTTTAAACACCAGTAGGAAGTTTTAAACAGTGCTCAGGATATAGGAAAACAGAGTTCAACAAGGGACACACATATCACAAACCTAAAGGAAGGGATGAGTCAAAAATCACACCTTATTTAATCAAAGGGAATGCCCAAAGTGATTCCAAGATGGTTTCTAGTCTTAGTATACTAGGATATTTATATTTAAATTTAGTATATTTAGGCCACATTATAAAAAGAATATTTTTTCTAGAGTATACTAAGTTTAGATGCCCATATATATGAGTAACTCTAGGTGGCCTTAGGTTCTCAGAATTATGCCAGGGATGCACAAGCTCTGGCAGATCAAACCAAAATTAAAAGGCTTTGACCATGCATGGAGTTGATGACAGACAATGAGTTTTATGAAGATCTTCCTAGCTAAGTTCAGATTCATTACCAGGCTGGCTGCAAAGTGATGAATTTTATGGCCATAGGAACTCTTGAAGACCATCTATGGAGTTATAGAGGGGCTATAATCTGTATCAGTTCAGAAAGTACTGACGATAGGCCACACTGATGATACTACTAATTCTCATATATGGGTGGGGGAGAGAGTATGAATCGGTAGCATCACATATATAAATGAAAATTTACATTCGGAATCCTTTAACTATAAAAATGAAACACTGCCATGAAGAAATTGGCATAATACCTGTTGTAAGGTACTCCACAGTCCCCCTTGAAGGATTGCCACTGCATTCAGAGGAGGCAGCTTGCTGACTGAGCACTTCCTAGGTCTATTTCTATTAACTATTTTCTTTCTTTGGTTTTCCCTGAAGATTTCGAGCCAGGGTCTACAGGTCTTTATCCAGGCTAGTCTCTTTTCTTCAACTAAAGCTGAAACTCTTATCGTACTTAGCGAATGAGTAGACGTGTTTTTACTTTCTGCTCCATGCCCACAAAACTCCCTTGGTGTTTTCCTTGTAAAAGAAGTGGCAGTTGTGGTTTCTTTAGACACCGATGAGCTTTTATCAGAGTCACCTGTACAGCCATAAGATGTTGGCATACAGATAACAGATCTTTTCTTGCATAAATTACTTTCCACATTTAGAACGATAGCAGAGGTGTTAAAAATTATAGTTTCACCATCTGTCAGAATATTTGTTTCTAAGCTTTCATCAATATCAGCAGCTTGAGAATTACTTTCTTTGGCTGGTGCCAACCCATTCACATTGCTGATGGCATTTTCATTACTTTCTGCTTTTAGGAGTGAAAGCGTGTGGTTTAATGAAGCTCTGAAGTGATCTTCCTCTTCATGACTTTCTCCATTCTTTTCCTTTTCCTCTTTTACTATTTCAGAATCTTCTTCCTCCTGATTCTGTTTGCATCTATTCTGTTCTGGATTGTTTCTCACCCCCTCATCCTTTCGGGCTTCTTGGATTTTGTTTCCTTTGTCTTCATCTGCTGAACTTATTTTTTCTCTTTCCTGGTCTAACTCTAGGTAGTTTGTCACATTTTCTTTAAATTCATTCTTTTGTGATTTAATGAAATCTTTGGCTAGATTTTCATTTGGTTTCTTTTCATTTTGTAATTCATCCAGCTCTTGATGTTTTCCTAGATTTTCATCCTGTTCTTTTTTAAATTCTGTCATGATTAGTTGTCTTGACATGTTTTCCCTGAGTGGTTCTTGCTTTAATTTTTGCATGGGTTCCTGTTCAGCTATCGTTATTTTTTTCAATTCATTTTCTGGTCCTATATGTTTGGTTACATCTTCTTTTTCATTGATTTCTTCTTCTACTAATGGCTTTATGGCCATATCTTTTTTCTTTGTAAAAAATTTCATTAAAATCTCTTTGGCTATATTTTCTTCTTTTTTATTTTCTTTTTTCATTAACAATTCTTTGACCCACTCTTCACTTTTCTGTTTTTCTTTTTTCACCACCAGAGCTTCTCTTTTTTTGTTTTCTTTTTTCATTACCAATTCTGTAGATAGCTCTTCTCTTCTTTTTGCTTCTTCCATTAACTTTTGTTGTTCTTTTTTAAATTTCAAAATTTTCTTCTTTTTTTCATATTCCTCCTGCCTCTTCTCTTGTTCTTTTTGTCTTTGACTTTTTATTTCTTCTTGTTTTTTTAGTCTCTCTTCCATTTTTTTCTTTCTTTCTTCATCCTTTTGTTGAATTTTGTCTGCCATTTCTTTCCATTCTTGTTTTTGTTTTTCTAGCATTTCTGTCTTCTTTTTGCTCTTTAGTCGTTCTTTTATAACTGATCCATATTTTTGATAAGCTACAAATGTTCGATACCTAGCCTGGATTTTTATGGCTGCATTATGCTGCACATTTGCCAAACGTTGTCTTTCTTCAGCCTTTAGGTCTTCCAAACCTCTTCTTTCCTCCTCCATTTGTAACTGTAGTCTTCTGATAAACTCCTAAATTAAAATAGGAAATAGTTAAATGTAAATAAAATGATTAAGACAACAGACTAAACTGCCAAACACTGAAACTGGTTAAATTCTAATATAATTATAACCACATTTTAAAGAATGGAAAATATTTAACTGATTAAAATATGAAATTTGTTAATTATTTCAAAATGTTAATAACCAAATCTTCTACCCTTCTACATCAATGAAAATCTAGGCAATATTATGTCATAGCTAACAGCGGAAGTATTCAGTAATAGAATTTGACTGTGATGATTCTAGAGCAATCAGAAATAGAAGACACTTACTATAAAGAACTACCTATAATATGTGAGAAAAACTTTTTTCAGTAAGTTATAAGTTACTGAACAAATTTACCAGAGAAATAGAGTATGAAAAATCACAATTTTAATGCTTTCAGACTGAAAGCAACTAGGACTCTAATAAATAATTTTCATTTTATTACAAAGATGTCTCCTTAGTGATAAAGAAGTAGAGGCAGACATATGATATGCTCCTGGACATATGCCATGTTCAGAGACAGCTTAGAATCTTGCTATTTTCTGGAATCTCTCTCTCTGTATAGATAGATAGATAGATAGATAGATAGATAGATAGATAGATAGATAGA